TAAGCGAGTAGGTGGTAAGGATACAGAAGAAGGAGAAAGAAACAGAAAGAAACTGAATGAAATCTATGATGACTTTTGGATTAAAAAGATGGCAGTTGAAGAATGGATAGTTAAGCATTTCAAATTTACTAAAGATGTTATGAATAGTGAAAACAACATAGCATATACAAATATTAGATGTGAGGCAGTATCCAATGAGATTAGAAAAAGATTAGGTAAAACATGCAAATATGAAATTGGAGAAATCTTAATATGCAGACTTTACAAAAAGGACAAGGAAGGAAAACTGAATGTTAATATTAGGTGGAAGGTTGTTAATAACGAAGGATACAAGATAACAATACAAGATATCAAGGATGCAGAGAACATTAGAACACTTGACATTGATATTGTAGATAAGCATTTTAGATATGCCTACTGTGCTACCACTCATAGCAGACAGGGGACATCAATCAGTGATAATATGACCATTCACGAATGGAACAAAGATTATTTAGTTTGTAGGGAATGGTTGTGGACGAGTATCACACGAGCGAGGGATTTTAACAATGTCTATTTTTACAAGAACAAAGAGGGAGATGAAGATATGTTCAAGAGTTTGGTAATCAACTATTTTAAAAACAAAGTTGAAGGATATAAACAGCAAGATAGAGTAGCAAAAAGAGAAATAGACAAAGAGCAATACATTGACGAAAACTGGTGCTTAAAATACTTCAAATCCTGTTGCCAAAACTGCGGAATTAAATTTAATCTAGATACAAGAGGAGGAAAAAGAAGTTCTAACTTCACTGCTCAACGTTGTGATAATGAGTTATGCCACACAGTTGAAAACTGCACCGCCTTTTGTGTCTATTGCAATTGCAGCGCGTCATGAATAATTTTGAAAATGAGTTTTTCAAAATTATTTTATTAACTTAATTAATGAGTTCAACACAAGAAATTATTAAGAGTGTATATTATGATAGAAGCGGTTATGGTTCAAAACAAACAACCCTCAAGGATGCTAAGCAAAAAGATAGTAGTATTACAATAAACGATATTAATGAATTCTTTAGTAAGAATGTAGAAGAAAAAAGAAAGATGAGAGGTGAAAATAGTTTTATTGCTCCGCATAGTTTCTGGGAATTTCAAGTTGATATGTTTTTCATTTCTAAAAATGATTTGGAAAATCAAACATTTAGAATTGGAATGATATGCATTGATATTTTTAGCAAATATATGCATATCGTGCCAATTAAATCCAAGACACCGCCAGACATTTTAGCAGGAATGATGGAGAATATCAATAAGATGGGTGGCAAACCGAAATTAATTTATACCGACGAGGAAGGCAGTTTTTTAATCAATCAGTATTAGATTATTTGAAGGAGGAGAAAATTGAATTACATAGAACTAGAGGTCATCCAGCATTTGCGGAGCGTGGAATTCAGACTTTTAAAGATCAACTGTTTAAACGAGTTGAAGCGGACAAGAAAAATGGAAAGCATAATATCCAATGGACGGATTATATTTTTGAAATATTATTAACTTACAATAATAAGATGGTGCATTCTGCCACCCGCTTGTTCCAGCACAGGCAAGATTAAAAAAGAATGAATTTGAGGTAAAAATGAATATTACAATGCAAGCAAGAAATACTAGAAAATACCCTGAGTTGTCAGTGGGTAGTAATGTAAAAATAATGAGGAAGAAAGGCATAAGCGAAAAGGCACATACCAGTCATTGGTTAAAAGAAGTATTTAAAGTAAAATCAATTGATAGTAAATTAGGGCAATCTTACTTTCATTTGGAAGGAAAAACTAGTCCTTATTTGAGACACGAATTATTGAAAGCTTAATATTAAACGAAATACAGTTAAAGAAAAAACGCCTTATAATATTAGTGAAATGTTGCTTAACTATAACAAGTGCGAATGCTGTAAATGCAAAATGAATGATTTGAGTTTAACCTTGCATCATATACTACCAGCAAATGTATGTAATAAAATAAGTGAATATAATGTATACTGCAATCAATGCTGTATAACAAGAGACCTTGAAAAGTTTTTTGTTGAAGAACATAAGGATAAGGGATATACAAAGTTTCAATTACAGTTAAAATTCTTTATGCGACACCAAGCAAGATTTCCTATACACTTTTACCAGAAGATTTCCAGAAAGTCATATGAAAATGAAATTGATGAATTCTTTAGTAATATAGATTTAATTAGGAGGTTTGGAGGAATAAACGCAATTAAACCATACAAAGCATTTGTCAAAAAATACCGTTATTTGTTTGAATGGATTGACTGGCATTTATTAGACAAAGATAAAATAAACGAAGTCTTGAACGAATTTAGAGCAACTAAATATAGTATATGGTATTACTACAACACTAAATATAAAGTATGTCTATTGTTGTATTTATTCTTTTGGGAATATATTTATTCAATAATAGGAAAAACAATATCAAATATATATACATTGGTGATATAGATAAATATGTAGATTACATATTTGAAGACATATTGCCTGACCATTATTTTAATCCATAAACCTTACAATAAAAAAACATTGTAAGATTTATGATTTCAAAATGACTTGAAGAAATAATAACTTAATATATTATAGCGGAATGAGTGATACAGTCGGTATCAATGCTAAAAATATATTGAAAAACAAGTTTATGAGTTATAAATGCAAAGACTGTGAAATGCTGAAATTACCAATTGAACGCGGTTTTGCAAATGGCGTTTGTAATAATATTTGTCAATATATAATATGCAATAATTGCAATAGAATTATAAAAAAATTGATGATATGAATAACAAGGATATTGATATTATAAATAATGAAACTATTGATGATGATTTAGAAATATTTGTATTTATTGAAATGAATAATTTCTTAACTATAGAAGGATTTGATAATTTATTAGAATGTAACGACGAAGGATATAATAATGATTTTATTTTTAAGTATTATAGTATTGTAAAACAATTATACAATATGTCTTTTAATATTAAACGTTTAAAATATGTTGTATTGTTTGATTTTTTAAATGAGTTTTTAAATGATGAGTATAAAACTCACGAACTTAGATATACAATAAAACGTGCGATTGGAATAATGGGAATGTTTAGAAAACAAATAAAAAATAATTTTGATAATGAAACAACATGTGACAAAATAATAGAAAGAATTAAATTAATAATTTAGTTTTAGGCGAAATAGTCCTAAAGAAAAAACACCTTATATTAATAGTGAAGAAATGAACGGTATTGAAATCAATAAGTATATTAATAAGAAATGCTATGATTGTTGCCACTTTAAAAAGGAAAATATGGAATTGTATAAATTAAATTTACCTAATGGAATAATAAATAATATTACTGATTATGCTTTGGGTGAAGAAGATTTATGTAGAACTTGTAGAAGATGGAGACGATATCAAAATATAATAGAACATATTTTGGAGATTAAAAAAATAGATGAAAGAAATGTAGAAGATGATATTTTGATATTTTTAACTGTAAATAAATTACCACCTTACGTTTATGTTAAACAGTTTCTTAAAATCAGTAAGAAAAATATGAAATGATTTATGATATATTAAGGATGTTGTGTTATAGTCAAAAGAAAGGAGAAGATATTAAAGAATATATCAAATTTCATATTGAAATTTATAAAAGATTTAATGTTAAAAACACAGTGAGAGATATTAATATTATTTTTAAAATGATGTATGAAATAAATGAGATTTGTCAATTAAATTATTATCCTGAACTTAAATTATAAATTACACCATAAACCTTACAATAAAAAACATTGTAAGATTTATGATTTGGATTTATGGGGATTTTGGGATTTGGGATTTTGGAAAAATATATTTTGGGAATTTGGGATTTTGGAAAAATATATTTTTGAAAATTTAGAAAAATATTTGTAAAATTTATGTATCAAATCTTGAGTTGAGGTTCTGTTATGAATTGATGAAAAAATATTATGTGGATTGGTCGGTTGAGGGGATTTTATCCAACTGGGGCAAGGTCTTGGGTAGGTAGGCCCCCCCGCCGAACGTCTGATGCGTGGGGGGGGGGGCACCCCCCCCAACGTACCGCGCGGCAATTTGATGTCTGGGTCTGGAGAAACAGGGGGGTCCCAGGCTCGAATCCTCCTGCCGCCTCTCTGCCGGCTCGGGTTTCCGGCTTCCTTTTTGCTGAGAAAAATGAAAAACTCAGTGCTTTTTGGACATCATTCTTGCGAAAACGTTGGAAACTACCGTGTTTCTCGATAATTTTGAGGGAAATGCATGGAAATAATGGGGAATGAAGGGGGAATGCAAGGGAAGGGAGCATGAAGGGCACATGAAGGGGAAATCCAGGAAAATGCAATGACATGCAGGGGACAGGAAGCGGAAATGACAGGAAATCAAGGGACGTGAACGAAGGGGAACTCGATGGGAATTGAAGGGGAAAGGAATGAGACACGCAAGGGGAATGCAGGGGAAACACGGGGACATGACAGACAGTGACGAGGCAATCAACGGACACGCAGGGAGATAATGTAGGGAAACAACTGGCAATGAGTGGGGCATACATGGAAAAGGAAGCAGACTTACAAATGAAGGGGCAGTCAAGGGAGTAAAAGAAAGAGAGAGTGCTAGACAGAGGAAGGGGAAGAGAGAGAGAGAGGCAGAGAGAGGAAGGGGGGAAGAGAGAGAGGCAGAGAGAGGAAGGGGGGGAAGAGAGAGAGGCAGAGAGAGGGGGGTAGAGAGAGAGGCATAGAGAGGGGGGTAGAGAGAGAGAGAGAGATAGAGATAGAGATGGAGGAGGGAGAGGAGGGAGGGAGAGGAGGGAGGGAGAGGCGGGAGGGAGAGGAGGGCAGACAGGAGGAAGGGAGAGGAGGGAGAGGAGGGAGAGGAGGGGAGGGAGGGAGAAACAGGGGAGAGGTCAGCGTCGGCGGACTGAGCCGGAGGCTCTAAAGTTCAATAAGGTATGTCGCACCTGTTGGACACTGCTCCTGCATAGAAAGACAAAGCCAGCCGCAAGACATCCTCTTGTCTGTCGGCCTGCACTGTGCGCACGACGCCGGGCTTCACCACGCTGCGAAGGCCAATTTCAATCCGGTCCAGCGCCAAAGATTTGGCCGTCGGGATGAAGTTGCCCCGCTTGCCCGTGACAAGCGCAAGAACCTCACAGGGAGGCATTTCGCACAAGTGGTCCACACTACCCATCTAATCTCCTGAACTCAGGTTGGCGGAACATCCTGTGACATCCGCAACACCATAGGGAGGGAGACATCTGCACATTGAGTCGGGAGACTCCACCATATTCCACAACGCATCGCGGCAAAGGAGGCCAAGAACCTTCTTTGGTGATTTGTCTTAAAGGGAGCCAAAAAGAAACCACCCACCCGGAGCCGGAGGAGTCCCCAAATTTCGAGAAACACCCAGCCAGGGCTCCACTTTTTGACTGCCCCAAGATAGACTTAAACCCAGGGTTTCTCCTTTTTGGGGGAATGAACCACTGGGTTTAAGTCTACACCTTGAATAATCACAAAAAAAGCCCTGCACCCAGCTGCATCTCCCGCGCCTCGCCCAGTCCTTGGCCCAGCTGCTGGAACCACCGCCGCATCTCGTTCCGCGGAGCCCACGGCACCCGCGGCCGCCGCAGAGCCGCCGCGCGCTGCGCGGCGCTCAGGGCGCGGCCCTGCCCGCGGACAGACCCGACGAGGCGAACGCGACGGTCACAAAGGGTCAGCTGAATGTTGTGGGGCGCCCTCGTATTCTCCCTTCACATTAAAAACTGGTCTGTCTGGGGGGGGGGGGTGTTTGTGTGTGCAGAATGTGGACAAGCTTGCGGGAAACCTCTTGGATTGAGAGATGGAGATTTAGCATTGCAATCTGTGCGGGGGAGAAGGGGGAGAGTTTCTGGTCTGCAGACCAACCTCTTCACTAGTGGACCTAGACCACAAAGCAATGTTTTCTCCCTACGCCTGGATGTAGCCCAAAATGGACATGACCATGTCCAAGTCGGAATCATCCATAACAGTGTGCCTTGGATGGACAAATACAGCCAACAAACCAGAAGCGAATTGCTCTTCCTTACACATGACACCAACTTAAAGAGGACATGGAAACGTGGTTGTCCCCCTGGTTGTTGTCCAACAGTCCAACAGTACACTGCCAGTGAATTTGTGCCTTGTTCGTAAAAAATGAGAGTGTCCAAAAATGGGGGGGACCCATGTTGCTTGGTCTTCAAAGGGAAACCACAGGGAAACCAACCAGCTTTTGGAGTTCCCACATGTCGCTCGCATGAGGAAACAACAAACTTTCAGGCAGCCGAGCGACGCCAGGAAGTCCGCCAGAAGCCAGAACTGTTGGGAGTAGAGGAAGGTGAGCCTTGGTCGTTCTTCAACCTGGAACCCATGCAAGCATGTTGCTCCACCGTTGTAGCGAAGGCCAAAACATATGGCTATGGCTATGGGTCAAAAATCGGTTCTCAAAATGGGTTGCCCTGGCAAATGGAACCAAGGACCAAAAACCTGCGGTCCATATTGTGGTGGTTTCATTTTGACCCATACCCAATATGTTGACCACAGACCTCTGTCAATGCCAAACCTGGTTTGAGCCCAGGAGCTCCACGTAGTTCGCCCTCGCCTCCTGCAACCTCAGCCGCCACTCCTCCAAGTCTGCCTGCCAGGGATCGGCCAACTTCTTTCATGGCAACGGACCGAACTATTTGAACCTCTCGGTTTTCCACCTCCACTTGCAAGTCCTGCTGATTTTGCGAGGCTCAGGTCAAAGCCGCAAATGTTTGAAGCACCTTTTGGTCTGGAAAGTGGCCCCAAAGATTGGCTCAAACCATTCTGCTTTTGTACCCGGCCCCCGGCAGCTAAGTTGGCGTGGAACCATTGTATGTTGCACCCATGCTTTTGTTTTCCATTTTGAATATCTCAAACCCACCAATCTTTTTCAACTCAAGACCGATTCTTCGTCTCAGACCCCTCCGCCTGAAACTGGGCCTCCAACGCCTGCAGCTTCTGCAGGGAGTTGGGGTTCGCCGCCTCGTGCCGCACATCCCGGGCCCAGATGAAGCCCTCCTGGCAGAGCGTGTCCAGGCGGCCGCAGGCCACCAGCAACACGTCCACCTGGATGTGGGGAGGGGGGGGGAGCCTATCATGGCTTTGGTGGGAGGGGGTGGGCGCTCTTCTGTAGCGGCACCCTTTCTTCAGCTGATTTAAATGCAAGGGAAAACGAGAGCAAAAAAAAGTGTGGGGGGGTTCCCCTAGTTTGGACCTGGATCTTTTTCGGGAGACGTGAGCTTACACCTTTGCTGTCCACCCGGCTCGTTTTTCCAGAAGCCTCAGGTTAGGAAAAGGCCACAGGAAAGCGAAAGCCAGCCCAGTTTCTGCCTGCTGCACAAAGGCGGCCATGATCTCCAGGTCCTGCCCTGACAACAGCGCCCGCGACCTCAAGTCCACCAGCTCCTGCCTGAAGGCTTGGGCACCACCATGAGAGATAGAAACCCAACCGCTGGCTGGCGGTTTCTCCTGGTTTCCGTTTAAAGAGAAGCTCTGCTTGCTTTAGATGTGGCCATGGGTCAAAGTTTCCATTTCGTACCCCCAGTGGTGCACCTACCATTGGTTTTTGACCCGCAGCCATGTTGTCTGCAACCCCTGCCTGGAGAGGGTCATGGAGCTGGACCCCTCCCGGCGGTAGCTCAGCAGCGCGTTGGTGGCCCCGCCCTGGCAGGTCACCGCGAAGACCCCCTGCTTCACCGCCGCCCGGATCTTCTCCGAGGCAACCTCCTGGCGATTGGCCAAAATGCGGAGATTTGTTCCATGGCTGGGAATATTGGTCCATAAAAAAGGTGTTCAGTCAGGAAAGGAAGATGGAGCAAACTGCCTTGAAACAAAGGAAACGACGGGCGATCACAAGAACAGCTCAGTCTCCTCGCGCTTGGCTAAGTTCCGATAGAGGTTCTCAAGGCCGTGGCAATGCTGGGTGCAAGTCGCCAGCTTGCCCGCAATGTCTTTGACGTCTGTCAGCTCTGTGATGCACGAATTGAGCGCGGCGACAAAGCCTCTCCTGCGATGCGGACGGCTCGTGGCTTTGCAGCTTCTTTCTGCACGTGTTCAAACAACTGGACACGCAAACTCTTGACATGACTGTGCGTTCCTTGTCCCCGCTCTTCGCAAGGCTCGGAAAAAGCTTTGCACGTCCAGCAATGCAAAGACGGTATCTGCGCGGAGCAGCTCGTCCGAGTGGGTCTCGACGGAATCATGCAAAGGCATGAGGTCCTCACTCAGCAAGGGCTTGACAAAGTCGTACAGCTCGGCGGCCTCCGCGAGCGCACGGACGAGCTTCAGGTTGCCACATGTCTGTAGTGGGGACAACACCTCATCATCAGCTTGCCGCACGGCATCTGCGACCTGTTGAACTGTAAGAGGCCGAAAATCATCTGAGCACATCTGCGAAGAAACTGCTTCTATGGAAAGTGCGGGAAGTTGCTCCGTGGTTTTCCTTGGACAAAGATTGCTGCAACGGGCCGCACGCCAAATCTGACATATACCCAACAATGGCCCTACAATCAAAACAAATGTTGATATTGCTGCGCCAGCGAATTTGGGCACATCTTGCATGTAACCCTTGCGGTCGAGCGAAATCTAAGCGGGTCGAGACTATGCTAGCTAGCATCGACAAACTCCCCAGTCGCATGGCCAGCGCATTGCCGGAGAGAGGCTCGAAGCCACAAACATCAGCAGCCATAAACCTCACAACACTACGTCTGGTTCTCGCGTGACGCACTCAACCATCCCTGCGCTTCAAATAAATTATTTGTGCGAAGAGTTTGGCAAAGTCAAAGCAAAAGCTTCTGAGGCTTCAAGCAAGCGGCACTGCCCGGACGTCTTTCGCTGCCCGGGATAGACGGGCAGTCCTCTCCAGTATTTCAACGAGTGAGTCTGGAAAGTCAATCTTGCTCACCTGAGCAACACTGAAGCGGCAACTCAAAGTTAACCAGTCACAATAGCCTGCCGCAAATGTTTGACACGATCACTGAGAAGCTGGCGCCGCTTGCTTGGCGAAGATGCTCTCCGATACTTTCCGCCTATGCAAGTCCATGCAATACAAGGCCACTGGACACAAAGCAATGGCACGCAATAGCCTCGTCTAGCGGAAGCACGCTCTTCACAGCTTGATAGCTCAAGCTCGTTGTTGGTGTCTGCGCAATTTGTTCGCACAAACCTTGGCTGAAAAAAGGCCGCCCGGCCCGAGATTGCATTCAAAACCTCCAGGAGCCAAGTTTCAAACGAAGCGCAGTCACTGTCATTCAGTCAAGAGACTCTTGAAAGTCTCGAATAGACCTTCCACATCCAGCATCAGCGCAGCGCAATCCCCTTTTCCATGTATGCCCAACTCTGCCTCCAGCTGCTGTAGGTCATGCAGGCCATCCTTATAAAGTAAACCACTGGTGTGGAAGGCGCACATTGGCTGGCTTTTCTTCTGGTGCGGGCCGCTCAACACATCCCCAAAGACACCAGAGACTGCTTGATGGACACCAAAATCGCCTACTTCTAACGGACCTCCGGTGAAAATAAGCCAAGTCGCACTCTCTCCGGGCAGGTCATCCTGGTCGCTATCATCGTCACCGCGGCAATGCTCGAACCTTTCCGCCCACTCGCAGGCTGCCCGCAGAAACATGCCACAGTCTGGCAAGTTCTGGGCAGCAGGATGGGCGCAGAACCACCAACGTCCCTCAGGGAAGTGCACGGCTGAAACAGTAGTGCCTGGGTACAATGGTTGCCGAATTCTTACAATCACATGCCATTGCCACCAGCTAACAAACCATGCCCTCACCCCTCTCGCTTCAACCTCTCCTGGACATCCTTCAGCTCTCGGACGGGCCTTTCTCTGTCCAACTGCAGCACTGCAGACCCCAAGGAATTCACCGCTTCAGCGTCCCAGAGCCGCACGCGCCGGCACAGCGCCAGGAACCCCCGGGCGCGAGCCGCCGCCTGTGTGTACCTGCCCCAAAAATCCGCCCGAAATACGCCGAGGTCAAAATGTCTAAAGCCGAGCCGCTTGGACACATCCTGCTCCAGCGATACCACGGCTGATCGAGCCCATTCGTTGTCAACCGTGGTCCAAAACAGCTCCTGTGCAAAGATATCCAACAAGTCCAGCAGCGTGCTTTTGGGATACTTCAGCAAGTCTTCAGCTGACTGAAGCGTGATGGAGCCTGCCCGCACATCTAGCTGTTTGTTTTGACTTATTCATGAAGTTTCCATGACACAACCCAATTTCGCGCAAAGGTCAAAGCTGTTTGTATGGGCGATGGTTCTTTTTCTTGTGCGTGATTGTCTGCAATCACTACAATGTCACTACAACGCAAAGGCCCTTTGGCAGGCGGTGGTGGTAGGCGTGGTGCATGTCATTTGGTTCAGATCTGGCGGCTATTCCAATTCAAGTACGATCCGAATGATGTCTTCTGTTAATAATGTTCATTTTATCGGTTGGGTATCTGTGATGGAAAGGAGTTAGAGACATGCTAGTTCGACAAGAAATAGTTTCGGAGGCGCAGCGGAGCACCATCTTGTTTACACGAAGCCCTACATTTCTGTTACAAATGCAGCGCTGGATGAGCGCCCTGCCTAGAGAAAGCACCAACGATTGAAATTCGAGGGAGCACTCGCTGGCGCAAACAAATTAAGTCACAACTATGCGCGTTGAACCCAAGCAATGAAACTTGCGGCTCATGGCATATGAAACGGCTTGTTAGTTGATTCTTTGCCCTGACGTATGTCGGGCCGTGTCAGTTCGCGTCAGCCTAGCCCACAAAACTTACAAAACTGCATCACTCGCTGCCTTCATGAATCTGCTTCAAGGTATGCCGGATGAGCGTTGCTGCATCGTGAAGGTGACTCTGCGCTTGCAGCTTCCCGCCAAGGGATGACCACGCCTTAACTGGCTTGCTGGAACAGCGCTCACTCGCAGCTCGCTCAACAACCGAACAACAAGGAAAAGGCCTTGTAAAATGCAGCCCAAGATGCCCGCAAGAACAGCCGCCAGGACGCTGCATCATCATCGACCAACATCTGCAAGTCCACCTTTTGGGTCGCTGCGTCCAGCAGTGCCACAACAGCATCTTCTACATGACGCTGCCTCGGGAACAAAAAAACAAGCCGACCTGCTACTAGTAAAAACAAGGATCCTATGACGCCCTCTCTGCGACAAAGCTGCCGGGCTCCCTTGGCCTGCAAAACCGCGACTGACACCTCCGCCGCCTCAACAAAGGCCTTGGGGTCGCTGACAACCATGGGTGCCTCGGCCAGTTCGGTGGGTGCGACACATCACAAAGCCTGAGCTGCTGGCCCGCTCTTCAATCATGGTCACCAGGACAGTGCACATCTCCTGTCGAAAGCCATGCGCAGATCGTGCCACAGCGTCCAAAAGGGTGGCTTCATCATGCGCAAGCTGATCTGATGTTGAGTGGCATGAGGGCAAGGCCTTGACAAGTTTAACTGTTTTATTGTTTTAACACTTCCCTGGATAAGGGCTGAACTGTCACTTCCCCCGGCTCACAGCCGCGCCTCCCCAATCAAAGCTCGCAGTCCCTCCAGCGCGTGTAGCAACGCCAGTCCCTGGTACGCCTGGGCCGTGTGCCAGCTTCCCCCAGCCAGCAGGACCCGCCACCCGCCCCTCTCGGGGCTCGCCCCCTGCCTCGCAGGCTCGCTTCACCTGGCGGGTGATCATCTGCGGCTCCTGGCGGACGATCTCCCACTTCCCCGCGCTCAGCAGCTCGGTGCCGGCGGCCAACGCCAGCAGAACTTTCCTCAGATCGTTCAGGTGATGAGGCTCTGCGCCAAGCAAATGGAGACACTCCTGAGGCTGACAATTGTCATCAAAATCAGGAAAGTTGGGAAGAGAGCAAGGGCGCGGCTGGTTTTCCCTTCATGCGCCCAAAGCAAAGCTGCACTGAAACAGCTGCCAAGTCTCTCGGCATCTTTCTTCCACCTAGTCGATCCTTGAATCGAGAAAGGCGCCGACTTTGCTGACTCCATGCGCAGAGCGATGTACTGAGAGAACACGGCGCTTGCCTGTGCAAGTGGCGACGAAACTATCACAGCTCATGGCACGCCCTCTCGCTTCAACAGAAGAAACCCTTCCTTGACCCCGGCTATCCGGACTCGCTTGCAAAACTGGCCGAAAGACCAAGCGCCAGTATCAATCTCACCGAAGTGTTCTCTGCAGGTCTGAGGCGAGCTAGCAGTATGGATCCTACCCATACTCATGATAGGAACAAGTGCTTTCTCTGGAAAACTATCGAATTGTTATTTGAAAGGCAAAGGCCTTTTGCCCAAGGCTGTCAGCTGTTGGCCCGCCTCAAGGAAGTGCATGTACCCAGCCAGGTGCCGGAGCACACGCTGACAAAGCTCAGGCTGACCCTGGCGGCCAGCAGTGGAGTGCTAACAGTCCAAAACCGCAGCCCGCAAAGCCTTCTTGGAATGTGAGTTGGACACTTTTTGGCACTGGAACGAATATATATACATACATATTGTATGTTCAACCCCTGGAGAGTTGCCTCAAGCTGTGGATGGGCAAAATCCTGTGCCACCTAACATGTGTGGAAAACCACCCACAAAGTTGCAGGATATCGTGCATCCACAGTGTGGCCCAAGAGACCCAAACAAAAGGCGCGCCTTGGGTGTGGCTGCGCAGACCTGCCACAGCAGCTGCACGCAGCGCTTGAGCTCTTCGGTGTCGCCCGCCGCGTCCAGCAGCTGCGCAAAGCCGGCCATGGCATCCTCCAAGTTGGGCCAGGCTCCTCGGATGGCTCGGGTCAGCAGCTCCTCCATGAGGTGCGGCAGCTGGCCCCGCACGAAGCCGCTGGCGCCCGCAAAGGCGCGGCCCACGTCGCCCAGGTTCGCGGGACAGAGCTTCATCTGCTGGATGTAGTGGGTGCATGCCAGGCTGCCCAGGATCTTGTGCACCAGGGCCTAAGTTGATTTCTCAAGAAAGCAGAGCGGCGCAAGTGCTTCGCGCCTCACCATCGTCATTGGCTGCAGCAGAGCCCAGGCCAATCAAGCTGCTCACTGCTTGGAGTGTGGACCTCAGCTGTGTCATTGAACTTGATTCCTGTTGGAAAGGAAAAAGGCCTTTCAGAACCCTAGTGACAGTGAATGGGATCCAAAAAACGGAGAGTGGGTGCTCCTGCCTGTAAGAACTCTCCTGTCAGCGGATGGGGATGGAACTGAAAAATGTTCCTGCTCGAATTTGACACTGGATGGCTGTAAGCCATTGCCTCCACAAGTCGAGCAAACATAATCAGGGATGAAGGAAACGGAGCCCACGATTCCAGGCGCATGCAAATCCCGCGGGTACTTTCAGCGCAATCCATGCAAAGTTGTTTCACAAGAATTCCGAAAAAGCTTGATATTATCGCACTGTGCCTGGAACCTAAGCCAAGCAAGGAAAATTGCAGCTCAAACGCTGGCTGCTGCGCTGTCGGAACTTTTGTTCATGATTCATTCATGAGGAAAGAGCTTCTTCAAGTTCAATCACTCATCATATCCCCAGTTGCGCTCAAGAAAAGAAATATGCGAGGGACCATTGTCAGCAGAGTGAACATACTTGTGTCTATTCATGCTCAAAATCCACCAAACGCTCTTCTCGCTGAAACATGCTTGCATCAAGCGCCACATCAATGAGTTTCGGATCAGCCCATCCTCTGAACTTCTTGACGAGGCTCCGCTGCGGAGGCGCTTCACATGCGGAGAGCACCCACACCAAGTCCATGATGCAGAACCGCTCCCCCAACAATGCCTTGAAAAAAGCTTCCCGCGTCTCAGGCGTCATCTCGTCGATACAAGGTCGCATGTCTTGCAAGGAGGCTCGGATCTCTGCATCACGATGGCCTGTCAAAAGCCCCACCAGGCAAACACATGATGCAGGAAATGCTAGGCCTGTGGACATGTTCCTCCAGTTACTTGAAAGCCTTGCTCAATTTGCCGAATTCCTCGTTGCCCACCCACACTTCCAAAGAACAGGTATGCTCAATGTCAGGCACTTGCACTCTGGATCAACTTCCTGCCTGCACGACAGAAACTCACAGGCTGCAGGATGGTGTGCAGGCCAAGTTTCCCAACTTCCGCCTCCAACGTCACCAAGAACCTACATGCAAGGCAGGAGCATCCACATCTCAATAACAGGCCACGGAAAGGTTGCGGATGTCTGGGCGCTCAGTCTGAACAATCAAGATGATTTCACAAAGCGCGCCTGGTGAAGTTGATCCACTGCTCTCCTCCCTTCTTCGCATCGCTGACCATCAGCCGGTGTAGTCCGTGTTGCGCCACCTCCGCTCAGCTTTTACCGCGTTTGACACCAAAACGAGCTTAGAAAGCGAGACACAACATTCTGCAAAGCTACATCACAAGACCCTCGCGACTCTCTCACTCAAAGCTCAAGGCTGACAGCCCAGTGGCACCTCGTCATCGCGCAGGAGCGCAAACTCCAGGCTGTCGCTGGAGCAGCGCAAAGATTCGAGCACCTTCTCTGCGCCACTTAATTCAATCGCAATGAGCTCTGCAGCCTGCCGCTGCACCCTCTCCTCAGTGACCGCGAGTGACCACGTCCAGGACTGGAATCGCGCATGAAAGGCCTAGTTGCAGCCTTGGGGCTGCCTTGCCTTTGAACACAATCAGCGGTCGGACAAGCAAATCTTTGCCTTCCACCTTGCAAAGACAAGTAAACAAGGGAGACAACCATTCGATGCTGTGTCCAAGCCAATACCCAGCGCACCTGCACAACTTCCCGCAGCATTCTGTTTGTGGCGTCCTTCTTTCCAGAGTTCCTGCGCACAGCCGAAATGCTCACTTACCGCAAACAAATTGCCAACCCCCAGGTAAGCGCTCCTCTGCTCGACCAAGACCAAGCCACCTGCAGGCAAGGGCCGCAAGGGTGTATTTCCACATCTTCCCTCAGCCCCGACACCCTCGCCTGGAAGGGGTGTAGTCCCAAGCCTGCCAAGGACGTAGGCGGCAAAAGCGCCCTGGGAAGCGAAGCAAGGCTGCTCGAGCCTCAGCGAACGGCTTGTCTCTGAGCAAATCCAGCTGCACATTGCTCCAGGAACCGCCACATATTGAAAAGGAGTCAAGGACCACATTTCACAAGTCTGTATTGAACCTACATTAATTCCAAGCTCACACACACACACATTGTTTTCTGGTTGGCACAATTAGTTGAACATACAACTCATCAGAGACTCGATCTCTCGCTTGCAAAAAAGGCACACTTTCAAATACCTGTCCAATTTTGGAGCTCGGCGGAGCTGGTTATAAAGCTGCGAGAAGTGCTGTATAGACCGCATCAGTGCTGCCTCCATCTCAGCGCCTGAAGCATGCGCATTCCGGATGCTGATGGAACTCAAAGCCTTGCCGAGTCAGCCACTAGCATGAAGAAAACCTTTGGTCAAAGCCGCGCCTAGTGTGCACACTTCTTCATGAAAGGCACAAACAAAACGGTCGAAGAGCTCTTCCTGGCAGAGACTTGGCACACTGAGTCACCCCCTTTTGTGACGCACACCTGTGGTATATTTTTGCCCTTCTCCAATTGCAGCTCGTGGAAGACTGGCTCAATGGAGTCGGGTTGCCTTGGAGAGCACCCCCACAAGCTCAACAGGAACATGAAGCACCGAACCGAGCGATTCTTGACAAGTGTTCGCACTTCCCAGCTGGTGCGGCCACAGCGGCAAAGATAGATCCAAACGAGCGTGCAGCAGGCCCTCTGTGGGCTTGGCAGCGAAGAGATCGCGGAGATAGTCGCGGACATAGTCGACGCCTCTGGACAGCAATCCCGACGTGTTCTTGTTCAGGACAAAACTCCTTAGACAAAAGGTTCAAATCCCGAGCTATCTTCATGTTCCAAACAAGTCTTTTTAAAACAACACAAACAACCAAAAACGGGTGTGCGACCAAGCGTCAGAGTCACTGATGTCCTTCCCTCTGGTAGACGCAGTGTGCAATAGTAGTGTCCTTGTGCGCCATGGGTCATGATCACGGGATCCATCAGCACTCTGTCTGCGCCCGTGCAGTACATCTCACCTCCTTCAAGGATCAAGGCACCAATGATCAGTGCAGAGACATGCAAACCACCTTGGAAAACGGAAAGCGGATCTGTTTAAATTGCATTGCAGTCGCGTCCAAATGCTTTGTTTAGGATATGTATTTGGCAAGGGTTTCTAACTACATTCCAAATTGTTGATAGAAGTTCCAGTAGGATTCGAATAAGTATGTCCTTATTGAGACCTACTCAATGTCTAACCAAATTCTGTGTTGCGGCCAAACCGCTACAAAACACTGTTAGCGTACGTGGTTTTCTGATCATGGTAGTGCTTTGGGCTAGATAAAATAGAGACCTGCTACTCGAATTCGATCTGAATCGATATAGAATTCAACAAGGAAATAATCCAAACATAATGTATATTTGAAGTTAGAATATGAATCAGAACTATTCTATTTCAATTGAAATTCTACACAGAAGCTCTTGTCCAACAATGAAAAGAGCACGCTGGCATCACCAGCGTGCATCCCTGGCATCAACAGCCAGCATCTCCAGCATCCCTTGCATCGTCTGCAACACGCGCTCGCGACAAAGAAACACTACCAGAATCACTCCTCAAGAAAAACGGAGAAAAACGAGAAAAGAACGCCAATATGGCAATAAGCATCAGGTTTGCCCAAAACACGTTTCTGAAACAGCCTCCAACTAACACTGCTGAATTGCTGCAATTCGGCCTTGAGGAGCTTCTGGACAAAATACGTGCAAGTTCAGTTCATGCAACAGCTCCATTTGCCGGTGAACTGCACGGTAGATTGCATCCAAATTGCGCCTCACCAAATCCTGCAACACTGCACATCAAGCTTGCAACCTATTGCCTTCCGTTCATTCAGTGCCACGACGAAATCACAAGCATTTTCCACGCTGCTGAATGCATCACTACCTGCTCTGTCATGTCCTCTGTTGATCTGACGACACTGGTCAACGCTCCAGGGGCCAGCCAAATGGTAGGATCTTTCTTAGCATTGCGTCCAGTGGCAGCGCATTTGATAGTACCCCGACGTTTGTCCACCTCCACGATAGTCACGACATGCCCGTACCAGTTGGACATGTCCTGCAACACCATCTCACAGATTCAAGGTTTTCTAGCTAGCAGAACTGGGTTGATGACGAGGAGACCGATAAGCCGGGATTGAATGATACGGGGGTCGATAGGCGCAGAGGACAAATCAGCCAATTTGATTCAACAAAGCGGCTGCAACCCAGTCAGCCCAGTCCTTTGCCCGGCTTTTGCCTAGCATGGCTTTCATGGCAACATCCTTGTCCGAGATGACCTGCACCACCAGACCTTTATGAAGAGCATCTACAGAAGAGTACGGCGTCTCCCATGAAATAACCCCGTCACGCATGGCACGACAGGGAGAATCCGGGACAGAAGGTCTAGGCATAAAAGTGCTGCAAACATATGGAGACATATTGCTCTGATTGCACACTTGCAATCCAAGCCGCTCTTTACAGCTGGCAGGAATCACTCGCCGTTTTGTTTTTCTTGGTTGCTGCAGGTCTCAAGTGTTACCCTGTTTCTGCATGTCTCTTCAGCTTGGCGCCTGTTTGCAACTGTAAATAAAAAGTGTTGTTTCAACCTGTCCAAACAACCAACTAGGTACTATCTCGCAAGAGATTCATGTTTTGTTAGCTACCCAAGCGTTCCTGGTTTGAGTCGCAACTGAGGGTGATCCTTTGCATGGCCTGTCACCCAAGCGCAAGGGGCTCCAAGTCGTGCACGTGATTGCTAGGTCAGCACACGACCCAGCCACGGCCACTTTCACACTGGAGTCGGCCAGTTCCAACCAAAACCCTTCTTGACTCCGGAGGCTGGGCCGGACTCACACAATATCTAAAACACTACTTGCCTTTTCTCATACCACTTGTTTTGGCAACAGTGGCACGGCTTTACTGCAAATGCCAACATGAGACAAGCTTGAAATTGAAACCGCGCTAATATTGAGTGATTTTCAACAAGGCTAAGCCGTTAATATTGGCAGAAATGCCTTGTGCGCACAGCTTTTTGCAATGCGTTCAACATTCATAACAGTTGCAGCTGGTTCAGGAAATGCCACACTCACAACGCTTCAGCAGCCTTAAGCCCATCGCATACGCCCTCAGCGGTCGTGATGAGACCCAATTCAAAAACGAGAAACATCGAGGCATCGGGAAAAGATGCTTGCTACTTCCCAAACATGTCGTTCTTTTGTTGGCAGTGGACGGACTGTTTCTCACTGGCACCACGCACAACTGCGTGCAAACAGTGTCCAGATTGTTCAGCACGTGCGGCCGAAAGAAGGCGCTGAGATTAGCCTACCACAGAAGCATTATGCGTACGAAATCAAGGTTTTGAACGCAATTCTGCTGCCTGCATGAGCTCAATCTGAACGTCGCAAAACGCACAAACGCAAGCTTAAAATCCGCCGACCCTTTCTCTAAAAAAGGGAGGCGCACGGGAGGGGTGGTTGGCACATTCGCATTACCAAAGTTTCATCCTCATCAGCATCATCAGCTACGATGATTGTTATCATCACAGTCATCGTCATCATCATCATCCTTATCATCGTCTCTTTCTTATTCTCTTATTATCATCATGGTCATCATCATCTCTTCTTCGGCAGCGTTGCTGATGCAAAGAATGTTAGGATGACAGTTATCATCACAGCCGTTATTGATGCCAAGGATGCTACGATGATAGTTATCATCATTGTCAAAGGATGATGATAGTTATCAAGGAACAAGTAGAGATGCAGAGGATGTTCTGATGATAGTTGTCATGACGTTAGACATCCTTGGCAATGCAAAGGATGCGATGATGATAGTTATCAAGGATGTTGTGATGATAGTTGTCATGACGCGAATGATAACGATCATCACGCCCGTGCCATTATCATCATGGTCGTCGTCTTCTCTTTTCAGGCAGCATTGGTGATGCAGAGGATGCTACGATGATAGTTATCATCATCGTAGCCGTTAGTGATGCCAAGGATGCTACGATGATAGTTATCATCCTTATCATCATCTTTGTCGTCATCTGATCCTCACCTGGCATCATCTAATATTTTTTATCTATAGAAATCAAAAGGACGTTAGCCAAAGGATGCGATGATGATAGTTATCAAGGAACAAGTAGAGATGCAGAGGATGTTGTGATGATAGTTGTCATGACGCATGATAACGATCATCACGCCCTGCCATTATCATCACGGTCGTCGTCTTCTCTTTTCAGGCAGCATTGGTGATGCACAGGATGCTGCGATGATAGTTATCATCACAGCCGTTGGTAATGCCAAGGACTACGATGATAGTTATCATCACAGCCGTTAGTGATGCCAAGGATGCTACGATGATAGGTATCATCCTTGTCATCATCTTTATCATCATCTGATCATCACCTAGCATCCTCTAATATCTTATTATATATAGAAATCAAAAGGGACGTTAGACATTCAAAAGGGACGTTAGACATCCTTAACAATGCAAAGGATGCGATGATGATAGCTTTCAAGGAACAAGTAGAGACGCTGAGGATGTTGTGATGATGGTTGTCATGGCGCGGATGATAACGATCATCACGCCCGTGCCATTATCATCATGGTCGTCGTCATCTCTTATCAGGCAGCATTGGTGCTGCAGAGGAAGCTACGATCATCACTGCCGTTAGTGATGCCAAGGATGCTGCGATGATAGTTATCATCCTTGTCATCATCTTTATCATCATCTGATCATCGCCTAGCGTCATCTAGTATCTTATTATATATAGAAATCAAAAGGGACGTTAGACATCCTTGGCAACGCAAAGGATACGATGATGATAGTTATCAAGGAACAAGTAGAGATGCAGAGGATGTTGCGATGATAATTGTCACGACGCCTTAAGTGATAGCAAGAGTGCTACGATGATAGTTATCATCCCTGTCGTCATCTTTACCATCACCTAGCATCATCTAACATCTTATTATAAATACAAATGCAAAGGATGCGACGACGATAAATATCAGAGAACAAGTAGAGATGCAAAGAGGTTGCGATGATAGTTGTCATGGCGCGGATGATAACGATCATCACGCCCGTGCCATTATCATCGTGGTCGTCGTCATCTCTTCTCAGGCAGCATTGGTGATGCTGGTGATGCCAAGGATGCTACGATGATAGTTGTCATCCTTGTCATCATCTTTATCATCATCTGATCGTCATCTAGCAACATCGAAAATCTTTTTCTATCTAGAAATCAAAAGGGGAGTTAGACATCCTTGGCAATGCAAAGGATGCGACGATGATAGTTATCAAGGAACAAGTAGAGATGCAGAGGATGTTGCCACGATAGTTGTCACGACGCGGATGATAGCGATCGTCACGCCCGTGCCATTATCATCACGGTCGTCGTCGTCTCTGGCGCAGAGGACGCTACGATGATAGTTATCATCACAGCCGTTTGCATCTACGATGATAGTTGTCATCCTTGTCATCATCTTTATCATCATCTGATCATCACCTAGCATCATCTGATATCTTATTACATGTAGAAATCAAAAGGGGCGTTAGACATCCTTGGCAATGCAAAGGATGCGACGATGATTGCTAAGGTGCGCTTTTTCCACACACCTTTGAGGCCTGTAGCGTTGCGACATGGTATTCATGTCTACTGCAAACATGCTCAACTCAGTCCTGTTGAATGAGTGACAAAGCCTCTGTTTCCTACACATGTCACACGGTTAAACCAGGTGAGTAGGATGCAAAGTGTTTAGCACCCCGCCTTTGCATTCTGAGTTGTCACAACTCGATTGCAAACTCTCAAGCATTTTGTCCTGCACAAACGCAAGTAAGCTGAAAATCCACTCATGTGAGACCATGTTCACACATTTCTCACAAAGCCCTGCCACAGCGTAAGATTCTGCTTGGCGCAAAAAAAGGCTGCATATTGCGAACACGATCATCCAAATCCGGCTACTTTGGAATCTCCATGCAAATTGATGCCCGAACTGCATTCCGATTTCGTAGCCTCGCTGCATCTGCTGCTGCTGACATTGCACCGTCATACTGTCTGCAAGTCTCCCTTGCAACATCTTCATTAGGATGGTTCATCAGAAACACTTCATCCAATGATTCATCATCTGCGAAACTCTCGTTCAGCTCTTCCTAGGGCTCACGCTGTTCTAGTGCTGCAAGTCTCCCTTGCTGCTCATTGTCAGCACCAACAACATTCCAAACTGACGCTCTGCCCAATCTCGCATCTCTTCCATTCCAGCTTCATAGTTGTACACAGCTGTACTGAATTGCGTCTCCAAACACATGATTCTTCTCCACAAAAGAAATACTGCACACGTCAATACAATGAACAGAATCAACAGAAAAATCCTGCACCACACGTCTGAGGGACCAAAAACGCCATGACCCACGGCCTCAGTTGGACAACACTTGTCTGTACTGCTCCATCTGTGCTGGTTGCATGTGCTGATCAATGCAATCCTGAGAAGCTGCTTGGCCATCTGCACATTTCCAGTAGGCATAGTGTGATTCTGCTCACAGCTTAATTCAACTCGCACATCCTTCTTCATCATCATTGCTTCAAGTTGCTCTTGGCCAACGGGTTCTGCCCCATCCTTGGCGCAGCATAGCATGTAGAGCAAACAGCACAACCTCGAGCTGTCAATGGCTTCGTACCAATGTCCGCTGGGCTCAGGTCTCCTTCTTAATGTTCAGGTTCCCCTAAGCAACAGCCACACCTAGTTCGAGCTAATGCGAAAGCGAAGCAGCAGTTTGTTTTGACACTGGCGGTGCTGAAGTGAAGCAAAGGGGGGTCCAGCCCCTAAAGCCACTGAAGCAAGGAACACCCCTGCTCCAGAAAGCCAAAGTGAAACGGCCTCTCGCTCTCCAAAGGTGAAAAAGGAAACCAATCATTTCCGCGCAAAGGAGGGAGGGTGAACAAGTTTAAAGCTAATGCTTTGACAGCATGCGGTGGCTGTTGCTTGAGCATCCGTGTTGCGTATGCAAGGGTTAACTGAAACACATGTGAGTAAACACACAAACTGTTCAAGTTCCCCTAAGCAACAGCCACACCTAGTTCGAGCTAATGCAAAAGCGAAGCAGCAGTTTGTTTTGACACTGGCAAGCCACTGAAGCAAGGAACACGTAGAAAATCTGCCAGTGACAAAGCAAACCTTGCCTGCCCCCCTGAAAAACGGAGGTTTGTCGCTCAGGCCACTCACGGCTCAGCTGAAAGAGAAAAGCATCACATGAAGAAATCATTCACAGGCGGACGCCAGGGCAACGAGGCCCTAAAGGGTGCAATTCCACTGCTCTGTCGCGAAACCATGTCAGAGGGATGCAAAGCCAGTCTTCAAACTGGTCCGGAAGAGATGCCGCCTGGCCGTCCCACCTGGAAAGTAAGTCGGCCTCCACGTCGCGCTCTCCAGGAATGTGCCCCACATCAAGTCGAATACCAGAAAGCAACACAAAAATTAGTGATTTGAAGCTGATTCCGCCCCCGTGTTGATCCGCACGCGAAGACGACCTCCGGGAAAAAGGGCGGCAGTGCAGTGAAGCAAAGCAATCTGTGCCAGGGCCTCAAAGGACGCAATGTACGACTGTGCTGCGTCCAAAAGCTCGAGGCCAGTAAAATTCAAATCGCAGAGCTTGAAAGACTCACTGAACCACCAAACGCGCCCTGTAGTCAGCTACATGTCCTGTTGGGCCATCGCATCGGCAGCAGCTTCCACGGCAAAGCCAGGAGGCTCATGCAGCGGAAGCATCATAGGAGGATCCTGGGCCCATCTTTGCGGCAAGACGCAGACGGATCCGCAACACGCAACCAGATACGCCTGTTTGTAACCGAAATCCATTGCAGGTCCGCCAAACTGGTCACGGTCTGACGCCGCACGGAAAGCAACTTAGCTCCAAGCGGAATAGCAGATCCGTCGGGACGCGAAGTAAAGACCAGTTCGGGAGAAAGGTGTGACGCAAGGTGCGGCCAGTCTCCAGGGTCAATACTGCAGGCAGTGCCCAGTTGGAGCAAACCAATTACCGGATACAGCTCAATCTTCAAAACGCGCGATGCGGAAAGAAGGCCGCGAACACCAGTGGCAAGTTGATTTGTGGCACCGTCACCCCGCCGGCCAGAAAATTGAATTGCCAGCCAATCCAAACAGTAGTAGACCCGCACTGAAACTTGGGCCACGACACGGGATAACCAAAAACCTAGCACAAGCAAAGCGCCAGAGCTGCCACAAGATCAATAACTTGCTGTTCTGTGAAAGCAAGGAGGTCATCTGCATACATCAAAAGCGCGTGCCGTACCCAAAACAGCTGGCGCAGAACGCGAACAAGAAAACCGCTAACACGCTGGAACCAAAAGGCAGAGAAAACGGCTCCAAAGGGACAGACCTTGTAAAAGAAAATCGCAGAGGCTGACTGGGCACTTGCATCCGAATCCGATTCGCGCGCACGAACAGTTTTGTGGGCGGCCTCGATGTCCAAATGCTGCTGCCCACCACCAAGCGTGATTTACGCCCCTCTGCCTTGACCACGTTCATACGGCCCACGGCCAACTTGTCCCCCCAGCGATCCTGGGCGTCCGCCAAGCTGGCGACTTCTTCAATGCAACCGGCTGCCAGCTCTTTCTGCACCAAAAGGATAGGTTCAGCTTCCGCCCCGCCCCAGTTACCAAAGCAAACTTGCAGATCCTCATCGGACGGAGGTACAACACGAGGGGCAAACACGTTGGAAGCTTGGATATCATTGTCAAAACCAGTCGGAACACCGTGCAGCAAAGCAGGCCAAAGTGTCGCATCCTTGTCACCAACTGTACCCAAAGCAGCGAGAGCATGGATACAGTAAGGGAATGAGCAGTCCGCGCCACCCGTTGCGCCCGGAAGGGGGCTCATCTGCGCCCACATTTTCGGCTCATCTCCACCCACACAGAAGTGACTCATCTGCGCCCACCTTTTCTGACTCATCTGCGCCCACAGATTCTTTCGCGAACACATAGAAGTTGACCCTTTGCCAAAAGGGAATCATCTGCGCTCACACTTTGCGCTCATCCCTGCCCACAGAGAGTTTTAGGGTTTTTTGGGCGTAGGGTCATTAGGGTTTAGCTTTTTAGGGTTTAAGGTTTTTAGGGCTTGGGATCTTCAGTGTTTAAGGATTTTAGGGTTTAGGTTTTTTAGGGTTCAGGGTTTTTTGGGTTTAGGGTTTTTAGGGTTTAGGGTTTTTAGGGTTTAGGATCTTCAGCGTTTAGGGTTTTCAGGGTTTAGGATCTTTAGCGTTTAGGGTTTTAGGGTTTAGGATCTTCAGCGTTTAGGGTTTTGAGGGTTTAGGGTTTTCAGGGTTTAGGGTTTTTAGGGTTTAGGGTTTTTAGGGTTTAGGAGTTTCAGGGTTTAGGATCTTTAGCGTTTAGGGTTTTAGGGTTTAGGGTTTTTACGGTTTAGCGTTTTTAGGGTTCAGGGTTTTTTGGGTTTAGGGTTTTTAGGGTTAAGGGTTTTTAGGGTTTAGGGTTTTGAGGGTTCTTCCAAGCTTAAACTTTGTTCTTTCGCGGTTTTCCGTGGCACAACAGCCTGCCGAGGAACCTTGCTTGAACGCGGCAGCCACCGCCAAAAACAGAGTGGCGCACCACATACAAAGGGTTTGCAGCCCGAAAGGCGGTGGTGGAAGCTGCCTCTGGCGGGTAGTGCGCTGCCGGAAGCAGCACACAAGCTTGTGGTGGCATTTGGCCTGCTTTTCCGGGCTGAAAATGGATAGAGCACAGCAAGCGTTAGCCTGATTTCGACCGAAAACGAGCGCGAACTGGAGGGCCACACTTGCCGTTAACACGAAAAAACAAACTTCTTGAGTTGGCCTTTAAGCGCTTTTGCGCCAAAAACGGAGGCGAAGACCGGTGACATTGAAAAACGTTCAGCTGGATGGAGAATTTGGCTGTTTTGACCAAAGAACCAAAATAATTAGGTCTCTATAGGCGTTCTTTTCCTGCACGCACCTTGCGATGCCCGTACCTTTTTTGTTTGTTGCCGTTTTATCCTTTTCACACAGAGTTTCTGTGCGACGGTGCTCGACGCGGATCGCTGCTAAGGGGCAAAAAAAAGTAGCGTTCGGGCTCTTGCGGATCAGCGCTGGTTGCAATCAAAGTCCCTGCTGGAAGGCCGCAGGCCCAGGTCAAGCAGTAGTGTGCCCCGCCCGGTGGCTTGCGCGCAAGAGCAGCTATGTTTAATTGGGTTTTAATATTTTATTATATTTTTATATTTTATTATTTGTTTTTTTTATTTTTTGAAAATACACATATGGTTTTATGATATTATGTATGAATGATTGTAATATATTCGATATTTGTGCCGAAGAAGGAAATAAATTCCGGAAATAGAATTATTTTCATAAATTTAAAGAAAAGACGATTTAGTGTAGTTATAAGCGGCTAGAGTAACGAAGCGTATCGAGGTATTTAATGGACCAATCTAAGATTATATCTTTGTGTACCCGGTCTATTACTGGATATAATGATTGCGCCGTGATCTGCTGTCGTTGTCTTGGCTTGTTTTGCACGATTTTTTGCATGGCATGGCTTTTGGCTAACATGATTTTGCATGATTTTCGCGTGGTTTTTTTCATGGGGTAGCGGCAGCCGCTCTTTCTTGCTGACAAGCTGCTTCTCCACCTCAGAGCTCTATCTGGCCCGCGATGCAATGTCGCTCATGCGGAGCGCTTCCATCGCTTCCCGCTCTCCTTCTTGCGGTCCTTGGCCAAAGGGCTCGCGGGAGCAGCGCTGCAAGCCGGATCTTTTGGACCTGCTTTGGCTTCCCCACCTTGATGTCAACTTTGACCGTGGATCGTGAGGCCCCGCATCACATACGTATTCATGTGTGCCCAAACAGGATGCTTGATTACTGGGGCAAGCCGGAAACGCCAAGCACAAGAACCTTGAATATTGCGGTAAAGCCAAGCCATCATGTTAGTTTGGATGTTGTCCGGTCCAAGAGACACCGAGAACTGAAATTCTGCTTGCAAAGTGGGCAAGAAAGGTTTGCAAAGCCACCCCATGGTGCGTAGGTTAAGAATGCTGCGCACACATACCAAGCTGAGTTAT